CTGTAGGATGGCTCTGGCAATTAGAAGCTTGTTTGATTGAGCCTCATCCAGAAAGAGAAAATTTTTACAATGGAACGAGTGGATTGAGCAACAAATAGAGGCTTTGGGGGAAAGGAATGGCAGACTTCAGAACCCCTCTCAGTCATAGGTCGGCAAACTCCCTCACAAGCCGAGTCACTCAAACTCGGATTGGGCCATAAATGGGAATCTGAATGAGCCATATGTGCAAATACATTTTGCGATTGAGTGAGCTTCACTTTTTTTTTTTGGTCGGCCTGTGCTTTCAACACACCTTCGACAATTTAAAGATAGAATTTTCGGTGAGCCTGTAGTTCGCGCTCACTTCTTTTTCATTCATCTATAGTTAACACTGGCCCATCTTCCCTATGTAGGTATGGCCGAAGCTAAAAGGAACATGTTACTTTACGCCTGTATGGTAATCAACAAAATTTTTGATGTGTTTACGAAACAAATGTGAGTCCAGCTTCTTGTCCCCTCTCGATGTTTTTCAGCATGACATTATATCTCGCCTATTACCTAGTCTATTGGTGGCCATAATGCATTTATGTTGTATCTGTTTATCACTCTCTTTAGCCCCTGAGCTATGTTGTGAATGTAGGTAGTACCCACGACACACCCTTTACATGCTACGCTTCTCGCTTATTATGTTCACAGAAGTCCAACATAAATCTCTACCAACAAGCTCAGCTGTCCATTACTCTAAGTTGCAAATTTCTATAATGTAGTGAACATTCTTTTTCATGATTTCTTAATGTCTATTATCTGTCACCCCTTAGGTTTCAGTGATATCCTCCAGGTCAGGCACCTTCGGCAGAAACACTGCAGCTGCTGCTACCACCACCACGACCTATACTTCACTTCAGCCATTGCTGCATCACAACCAGTATTACAACTTCTGAGCCGCTACCACAGTCCTTCCCAATGATGCCTCACCTTGACAGGGCTTCACATGCTTCAAGAAGAAGCTGTCAGGCAAGTGTGCACTGTTAAGAAATTTAGCTTTCAATAGCACTGATGTTTTCAATGGGCAGAATAATTGACAAGTCTGCCAACTTCATGCTTCTTGAACAGGGTTGAAACTACGTGTGTCTGTCAGTGTAGGGAACCAAGTTTATGTGAATTTCAAAGTAGCTTATTTTTATTTTATTTTACAATATTGCAGGCCCCTTCTCAGGCCAATGCAGGAATGGGTTGAACTTGAATACACAAAAATGTGAGGAAAATAAATCGAACTTATGTACAAAGCAAGTAAGAGCAAGAAATATGCACATTGTATAGTATACAGGTGTTCACATAAGTTCTGAATTCTGTTCATAAATTTGACAGAAGAGCAGTTCACTATATTAGCGGGCAGCATATTCCCTTGCTACAGAACTAAATAATATTTGTAAGGGTTATGTTATTAATTTTGTGTATGAAGGAAGCAGGGTAAGCAAACGTTAGAAGAAAGTACTTTTTCATTCTTTACTAGATATGAAAGCAGATTCTTTTTCTACAATTTTCGTGTACCGTGCAATCCTGAGCGAGTGCTCCCACTATGGTGAAGGTGACGAGAACTGGAGGGGGGGGGGGGGGGGTTCTTGCTCGGTCTTGCATCAAAAAATCAAGATTATAGTGAAAAAGTCGCATGTGCTTCCAACGAAACTGATACACTTTAATAAGTATGCATGAATTCACTATGATTCTGCAACCTCGTTGCGCTTCTAAATAAAGGAAGTGAAGGAAACTACAGAAATGGCAAAAAGGCGGGGGGGGGGGGGGGGGGAGTGCTTGCTCAGTTGTTCGTACATGTTTTAAATATCTTGAAAGAGAGAGGATGGAACTTGCTTATGTGGGGGTGCTTGCTTGAGATATTACAGTATTGTTCTCATCCTGCGTATCTTTTTTTAATCAACTGAAAAAAGCGACCTGAAAGCAAATGGCCCTTTTATATATGGTATATTTGTAGCTTATTTTCTTTCTAAATTGACGAAAAGCATGAAGTTTAGCATTTTTTAGCAAAAAGAAAAGGCTGTCGAACTAGTGTTGTTTAAGCATTTACCGAAGTCAGACACAGTGAAATAGATCAGGTGGCACAGTAAACAAAATAAGTCAGCACAGAAAAAAAAATGTGCAATTTTTATTGCATAAGTAGAACTCCATCTTCTCGAAATGGCATTTTTTGTTATGTCAGTATGATAATTTTAAAATGGCAAAAGATGTCATGCTGATTGTTTGTGCACGTACTCAAGCAACACATGGTGGTGTACTGAACTGAACTTGATCCTTTAGAATAACTTTCATTTGATCTTAAAGAAAGTGTGCAAAATGTCCAAAATTATGTACAGGAGCAAAAAAATGCAATTTTTTAAATAAAGTAAACCATAATTTGGTTCGGTCAATAGAACGCAAGGCTCTGAACAAATTAGTATAAACTTCTGGTTGCTATCATTACATGCTCAAAAATGATTACAATAGGGTAAAAAATACGTGGAAGTCTGGGACTTGCCGGTCTTCTCTAATCAACACAGTGCTCAGAAGTAAGGCAGTGTTTACATACACCCGCAGAGCTGTCATATTCAATAATGGCAAAGTAGATACATAGAGCAGAAATGTTATTGTCGCTACCCCTTAATTGGAGGCAGTGACCGGGTAGACTCCAATGGCTGACTTAACATCCCCCAAAATGCACTGCTAAAGCTTGAACAGTTTAACATCAGGCCCTTTTAGCAGGGGTGCAGCAGCTGTGCCAATCGCGCCAATTTGATACAATTCCCGATTGTTGCACCGAGCTGGGCCAAACCCGTGAAATTGTTAAAATTGCACCACGCTGCGCCAAAATACCCAGCCAGCCTCAATTTTTTTTCAGGTGTACTAATTGCGGTGAGCAATGCAGACCATGTTGGCCACCTGCAGCTTTGCACCATCACTAAAAGCGTGCAAACCCGAAGTAAACTGCCTAGAATATACCTAAAATAATCTAGCCACCCACACTATGCTCGTGAGACGTGATCGACCTGATAAAGTAACAACACTGCATGTCTATCGGTCCGCTGACCACAACAGATACGTATCGGCGGGATGGCAGAACTTTAAAACAAAAATGTGTTGCACCAACCCTTCGCGGAAAATGTAAGTTCTCTTGCCAGAAACGCGGATATGGCTTAATAAGGCTTCGACGTGCTGTAAATGCCGGTGTTGATTACCTTAGCAGTGGCAAATAACAAATTTTGGCTGGAAGCTGCGTCCTTGCCACGGTCTTGGCGATAGATATCTAGTACCGTCGCCGGGGCAACGGGGGTGTGCCGTTGTTACTTTATCTGGTCAAACTCGTCTTGCAAGATAGCCGAAGCGGCACATAGCCCCATGCTGAAAAGGGTGGGTGGGAGGGGGGTGGTGAGCGGTAAGAAAATTTGTTGACTTTCGTTCTAAAGCTGCTTGAGTCACCTTTGCCGCACTAGACCGGTGCCTGCGAAAAAGCGTGTTGAGATTTACAAGGGGTTGTTCGCGATACTGGGACACTTCACATCTTGCTCAGTTACTCATGCGTTTGTACACCATTAAATTCTGAGTACCAGTATAATTACTGACGTATAAATAAGCTACTGTCAGTCATTTGAAGCAGTGTGTGACATTTATGCTTCTCTACAGAAATAAACTAAATTGTGCGCCAATTTTTTTTTTTTCACCACCTCTACTTCTCGTTTTTACGAATCTTCCAAATTTCAAGCTCACAATATCGGCAGATTGATATTGAAATTCTCAGAGTTTGTCAATTGATTTAAGAGGTGCAGTAAACGCTAATATGGACTTTATCATTGGTTCCTTAGCGAGGTGGTTCAAAATACTATCTTCATTGAAATAGTAGTAAATAGTATGCTCACACTACATAATTTAGGTTATGTTGAATTGTTTATACATGTTTTTTCTCTAAATGTAAGCCACCTTTTTTTATAGTGCTCCAAATTCGCTATGTCATGATAAAAATGCATGTGCTTTTTTTCCATAACCAGCTCCGAACTTGGAATTTAGTGCTCCAAAAGTAACATTTTGCTGCTCCAAAAATTGCTCCAAATGCTATTTCGGCTGTTGTACCCCTGTTTTAGCACGCCAGGAAATGCTGGTTGGTGTCCTAAGATAAAGTCTTAGCTCAGAGTTTTGTTACAAGCACGAAGCAATGAAGGAAATAGGAGCAAATGGGAATACTACACAAAGATTAGCACTTAACTCTTCAGATTCCATTTCACAAAACGAAACACTGGTTAAAGTCAATGTCAGTGCTGCTGAGAGTGAGTGGGTTTTTGTGCTGTCGGTAGTCTCAACGAATAGAAAGTGCTGAGAGCACACCACGTAAACAAGCCGTGTAGTGATATTTATCCAAATAGCACGCACCAGCACTCATAACTGCGCCCTTATGTTCAATGGTAGCAGCTGTTGAAAGTGTTCATATAATTGCCATTGCAATATTTTATTCTAAATGAATGGCTAGTTAAATCACTGGACAACTCAAGTGGGTTTAACAATGATGGTGAGACAATCATCAAGTATTACTCATCGCAAGCATGAAACTCAGGCACTCCAGAATATTCAATCCTTCAAGCAATGATTTCATCACCAGCCCGACTAGTCCCTCCATGTAGACTGCAGTATTGACCAGGAGCTCCCCTGCTGCAGTCGGTGAATACTTGTTACTCCTCAGTGTCGAGACTCTCTTTCAAAACACCTCCTCAGTAACTGCACAGCATCATCTATAAAATCTTCATCATAGACAGACTGACTGATGCCCTATTAAGGTGCTATTAGGAGCTGTTTTGTATGCAAAACATCACACTACATTGTTTCAAATTTTTTCTGGTCAGTGTTTTTCTTGGCAGCGATGTAAGATGATCGATGGTACTACTTAATAATGTAACACTTCTCTGGACAACCGAAGAACTCTTCTATATCATAACACATTGCCTTACCAGCTGAACCACTTCTGCATTTACCCCGTCTCTGCGTGCTTATATTGAGCAGCACCCTGCATAGGTTAAAAAGAAATCTGCGAATCATTCACACTCACTCATGAAATATATTTTTTCCTTAGGCCTTACTAGTGGACTCAGACTCGCTGCTCATTGCAAGTCTGACAAGTCTGGTGAGTAGACTTCCGAGTCCGTTAAAAATATGATGATCTTTTCCACACATGATTTCAATGCTCCTTAACAGCAATGTGTTGCATAATTGGTGCTCCAGTTGATGATCTTTTCCACACATGGTTTCAATGCTCCTTAACAGCAATGTGTTGCATAATTGGTGCTCCAGTTACAACCTTTCAATCTCAGACCTCTATATAGTGACTGCAACCCAGTAAGGTAATCTCTATTCAAAGAGATGGCACCTCAGATATTTTATGAGAATGTCCCGGGAAGAAATTCACAGGAGGGCATGTCAAGGAACCTCGACTCCCCCCCCCTCTTGTAGTTCTGGCGTCTCAGCTATAAATATTGAGTCGGTGCACAAATGCTTGTGCATTGAGATATGTGTGAGCTGTGAAAACTGAGAGCTCAAGGCGCGATTTCATGTGGAGGGAGGCCGCTACACTGCCACGAGACACTGCAAGGTGCCAGCTGGAGCACCTATTATGCAATATATTGCTTTTATGGAGCACTGAAACTATAGGTAAAAAAGATAATCATATTTTAACGGACTCGTAAGTTGACTTACCAGACTTGGTCATTGGTCACTAACAGCACAAAAACCCTTCACTCTTGGGAGCACTCACATTTGCTTTAACCAGCATTTTGTTTTGTAGAGTTAAGTGAGATTGAATCCAAAAGAGGTTACTGCTAATCTCGATTCTCAATTGCTATGATTCTTGAACAAGGGTGCCAATAGTTGCCATTCGCACCCTGGTTCGAGGAATATTGACATGACTCATCCATGCATAGCAAAACAAAGGCAAAGCCTTGAAATGAATAAGTTTCTTGCATGCTTTTTTCATAGCACTGTAGCAGCTTCTACATGACATTGTGTCCTGAGTTCTCATTTTTTTGGGGGGCTTTTGCACCAGCATTTGGTGTGAAGCATGCTGGCTATTGCGCGGTGCCTTCTTTCAGAGGAGGGGGCAGGAGCATGCATGCTTCAGAGAAACAGCTGTTGATAGCTCGTGTAGCTGCAAAGGGCTCATTAGGGGCTATGCTTGGGGGCTTCTTTTTTAATGCTGTTTAAGTGCTCATTTGTGTCAGCTGTGGTTGCATGCTTGTGTGGAAGCACCTTATTTTATGGCTGGCTTAACTATCCACTTTTTTTGCTTTTTGGGGGGCAGCACCCAGGGGGGGACTGCCGCTTACAGTTCTGGCCCTCATAAATAACAAAGTGGGCAGCTTTGCTTTTTTTTTAATTTTTGTTTGCTGTTGATGCATTAATACTCATCTCTACCAGTTCCACGACATTCCTCATACAGCCTGAATATGCCATTTACACTCCTGCAGCTTGCACTTATCTTTTTTATATCCATGTACTGTATTTGCTCACATAATAATTGTATTTTCTTCATTTTTGGACAATTTACTGATATAAAGGTGTGGTTTGTACAGTGGGTAAAGTTTTGGAACAGGTCGACTAAATTTAAAACTGGAAGCTGGAATTGTAATGACTACGTTGTGCCATAACAAAACCATATCAGGTTGAAGAGTTCCTACCATCAAGTTACAGGCACATGTTCGCATTGCCTTGTAATGAAGAAGCCCTGAAAAGCCTTTCCAAGTAATCATCAAATGTCTTCATTAGAGAAACTTAATTCATCTCAAATCGACTGTTGCAAAAAATTTTGCAATCTGCGAAATACTAGTGGAGCTACAGGAATTCGTCACATACTTTACGTGCTTTCCTTCACCTTTCGTTCGAGTGAGCTCACTCAAAGCCACGCGGGAGGGTATGACTGGGGGACAAGAAGCTATGCCTATTTATCAACGTGCGTCCTGAAGTTGAGCTCTTTTATCCTCCCCCCAGTTTTTTTTCCTTCAAACATGGGGCTTCTTCTCAGTGTAATCACGAACATGTGCACGGGCATAAGGCAGCCTCCGGTTGCGGTTGTACACATTGCACTTGAAGCGCAGTCAGTTGAATTTGGAGCCTTATTTGTTTTGGGGAAACAGCGTTTTTCAGGTGACTGATAATAAATTATGAATTAAAGGCTGCGTGTTGCCCCATCATGTCTGTCTCACATGCTCTCAGGTGCCTCGACTACCCTCGGCAGCATTTTCTGACCATGCTCGAAAAGGGTTGCTGGGCCACTTAAACTGCTTCATGGAGAGTGTTGTGTATACTATACTGAATTTGTGAAAGAAATGCCCATTTTAGCATGCCTAATTCCTGTATATCTGCCATCTGCTACACTTTATAAGAACAATTTGAAAAAGATTTAAGTGATGACAGTAGATGATCGAGGCCCTTAAATTGCTGGACATTAAATGTTACCGTCAAGGCACTCAAAGAACAGGAGGAAAAGGTCGCTCTGGTGCAAGTGTGCCCTTAATTGGCTATGCTTTATATGGTTTTGCCTGCTTCAACATCATCAAAGTGCTTGAAGAACAAGAAGAATAATTCTCTGTGGCAGGAGTGTGCAATAAAATGCTCAACTATTTCTGGTTTTCCCACTTCTCTTGAACTTTATAGTATGTGTGCCAAAGTAAATTCTAATATTGAAGTGTGTGTGCAAATTGAATATTTTTCTGAAATTTCTCGAATACTTCTAGAATTTTTTCAAATACTTCATGTGAAATTCTAGAAAAAGTTGGAGAGGCTTCCAAAGTTTATTCTTATGAGATGAAAGTCTTCCTTTTCGCAAAATTGATAAGTGTTGGTAGGGTAGCGTTTCCTAGTTGCCTTTTAAAGAATAAGGCAATGCACAATTGAATTTATATATGCACAGATGTGTTCATATGCATGATTTCATGCAGCCAAAGAGTTGATCAAATTTCAGGTCAAAAAGCAGTATAAGTAAGCCCTTGTCTCTGCCACACCTATCTTCTCCTTGTTAGAATCAGCCTTTTCTAGAGTCAGTACATTTGCGACCGTAGCAGAGCCAGAAATTCAGCTTTCATGCAATACGAGTGTGATGAGGTGAAACATATTAAAAATTTGGAGGGTCCCTTTCAGTCAGACATTGACTCTATTTTTTGTCTCTGGTAAGTTATAATAGTTCAAATAGCAAAATTTGTCGTACGAATTGAATCAAATAGCAAATATTATTCAAAAGATATTCAAAAATATGAATATTTGCGTACCCCTACTTATTGTTTACTTCAAATTTTTACCCCATTTTTCGTTCTCAGTAGAAAAGACATGTGCCCTTCTAAATGCTGTGCTAAGGCCACAGATCACAACTCATGCACGTGCCTAGAGCTCCACGCATATTCTTCTGTGAGACCTTCTATTTAGCTGTTTGAATTCAAAATTGTGAAACCTCGTGGATCAATTTTCACTATTGAAACTTCATTTTTTGAAGTAGTTATGCTAGTAAGTTTTAAGTGTTAAAGCAACAATTTGAGGGTGAGTGTAACGATGTTAACTCCCACACACAAGAAAGAAGGATAACAGAGACATTTTTCCCCTGCAGGTTCATTTGAGAGGCAGAAGAAGGAGCAGTGGGCTTGGCTGCGGTCGTAATGCAAGGAGGCTACAAAGCTCCTGTGGAGTGTCCTTCAGCTTCAGAACAAGAGCCTCATAGTAGCCCCGCATTGGAGTATTTGTGCATCAAGAGGACAAACAAGTGCCCCTGAACGGGGCTCTGACAGCGAGAAATTTGGAGGTTGTGGCTAGTGATTATTGCTTAAAGAGGTACTGACGCAAATTTTTGTCTTGCAATATTAAGGGGAGATGCGGGTCGAAAAATCGCGTTTTTTGCGAAAATTTCCACTTTTGAGATATTGCTGCTAAAATCACTTTTGATCATTCAACTATCATTTCCCCAAAGGTCACAGCTGAATTCAAATGAGAAAGTGGTAAAAAATCGATCTGCGCTAGTGAAGGTAGCTGCCGAAGTCGCGAATTCACGCATCCGACGGCTATTTTTGAAAATCCGCCACTCGGCAACACGATGACGTCCGCCATCGGGGTTTGTTCGGTGGTGTAGATCAAGGCTCCTTCTAGTGTACAGGCGTCCCCCTAGTTTCGTATTTTAGTGAGGAATTTCACAAAACAGTCGTTTCCAAGTCGGTTTGCAGCCAAGCTGCAGCCGCTTCGCGCATCTCTACCGGTCACATGGTACGCTACCGAGGCCGCCATTGGCTACATCTGATCGGCCTCGCTCGCTGAGCGCTTGCGACGATCGGCACTTGCCGTGCGTTTCTATGTTTTTCCGAGTTCACCATGGATAACTCGAAGAAGCGAGACTTCCGAGCACGAAAGTTTGCAAGCAAGAACAAGTACCAAGGGCGTCGACGTAAACCGAAGCGCAAAGCAGCGGTAGAAGAATGCGAGCCGCGGGCCACTAGGCCTAATCAAGGCAGCGGGGATACGGCGGCTTGCGGGAACTTTGACGAAATCGACGCCGCGATCAAGTTCATCAGCGCATCAGAAAAAAAGATTGAACAGTTCGAAAGCGAAAGAACGAAGAGTGTTTGTGGCTCTGTGAGCGGAGTATTTTGTGACATCGGCGCACTGACATCGATGGTAAGCCGTGCTGTTTGTCCAACATGCCACACCGCTGGACTCGTCGTTCGCGACACCGCAAGTAAACGTAAGGGCCTCTCTTCGTTCCTCGAGCTGCACTGTGATAACAGTGAGTGTCCTGAGTCAGTGGTTTCTGCCGCGCATAGTTCGCGGCGTGTTCTGCCGGAAAGACAGCCCACCGATGCCGGTGATGACTGGAGCTACCGAAGCGGCAGCTCGCGCGACAGCTTCGCTGTCAATGTGAAGGTAGTTGTGGCTGCGCGTGCAATAGGCATTGGGCATGAACAGCTGTCGCGTTTTTGCGCTATTCTTGGACTGCCAATACCTATGCATCATAAGACTTTTATTGCAATCGACAAAAAAGTTCATGCTGCAGCTACCAAAGCTGTGCAAGAAAACATGGCAAAAGCGCGGATGATAACTAAAGAGAAAGTGGATGGGGCTGATGTTGCTGTCATGTATGATGGCACATGGCAAAAAAGAGGGCACAAGAGCCACAATGGCATCGGCACTGCTGTGTCTGTGGACACTGGTTTGTGCCTAGATTTTGAAGTGCTATCGAATTACTGCCTTGCCTGTAGCCGGCACCAGGACTTGGGTGATGAGGAAGAAATATGGCAAGCATTCCACACACCTGTCTGCGAAAAAAATACAGAGTGCTCCTCTCATGCCATGGAGACTGAGGCAGCTTTGCGCATATGGGGCAGGACATCCTCATACACAACACCATTGCGCTTCACCAAGTTCCTCAGTGATGGGGACAGCAAAGCTTATACCGCTGTCGCTGAGGCCAAGGTATATGGTGAAGCTGTTGTGGACAAGGAGGAGTGCACAAACCATGTGGCCAAGCGTCTAGGCACTGCACTTCGGAAACTGCCAACAAGACTTCCACGAGGGGAAAAGCTGACAGATGGCACAATTCAGAAGCTGCAGAACTATTACCGTATTGCAATCACAAACAACAGAGGTGATATTCTGAAAATGCATCGTGCCATCTGGGCCTCATATTTCCATTCATCATCGAGCAACACAGCAGGCAGCCACCGATACTGTCCAGAAGGGGCGACTTCCTGGTGCAAGCATAGGCGAGCTGAAGCGCTTGGGGAGGCCCCACCCGACCACACACCAATCTTGACCAAGGCTCAAGGATTGGCTGTGCTTCCCATTTACAAGCGGCTCACAGATGAAAAGTTGCTGGTGCGTTGTATCCAAGGGAAGACCCAAAACGCTGCAGAATCTTTGAACAGCAAAATCTGGTTGTTGTGTCCGAAGACTAAGTTTGCCTCCCGGACAACAGTGGAAACTGCAGCTGCTATGGCCGTGTTGTGGTTCAATAAAGGACATTCAAGCTTTGAACACGTGCTAGAGGAGCTTGGTGTAGTCCCACCAGATCAACTGATCACCCTGGGCCGATCCCGCGACCAGAGGAGAATTGAAAGAATGTCTGCGTGTGAAACAGCCGAGGCAAGGGCCCATCGGCGGAACGTGGCAAAGAAAGCGCGCCTTGATGACTCCCTTCTCAAGCGGCGAGAAGGATCCACATATGGAGCAGGACAATTTTAGGTGCTCTAGCTGTGTCCCTTCTATGATATCACCAAGTTTTGTGCAAATCGCACTGTGTAATCATGAGTAAACATATTTACAACTTTCAAATGCATTTTTCTCGATTTCCATTTTGAGGTAATTCTCTCATCTTGTGCACAATCTTTTTTAGGCATAAAATAGTCCTATCTTGATGAAATTTTGCACAGAGCTTAATCAGCCACTCTAGAATACAAGTATCTACTTTAGGTTGCATTATACATCACAGATTTTTTGTTACACAACTTGATACACTGATAGAGAGATGTAAAATATGCATTTAGTACTTTTAATTTTTTTTTTTTAATGTAGCAAATAAATTTTCTGTTTGAGGTACTTTTCTGTATTGTACTGCTCAAGTGCAGCAAAATGAGCCATTTTGCAATTCTGTGTGAAAATTTTTAGTAAGCTTTATTATGTGCACAAAAAACACTATATTTTGATATCAAAGTTGTAGTAACTCCGGAACTACTATAGCTATCAAACAAATAATTGCAGTTATGAAATCAGCACTGCAAGCTTTACTAACACCTAAAATTTCAAGGAGCTGGGTTATGAAATAAAAAAAAACCTTTTTCGAGTAGCATCTCCCCTTAACATTGTTGACAGCCTATTAGTCACAATGTGGTGGATTGCTTGCTGCAGCATGGGACAGATGGACAATTGCTGTCTGTTTATTACAGACTAGTTTTAGCTTGGCACAGCTCTGAGAACACGAGCCAGGGAATGCAACAAATTCCAACTAGTGTGCTAAATGGTACACATAAAACGGGGCTTCCAGGTGTAAGTAGCACTTGCACAGCAGACTATCAATATTGAAAGTGGACGGTGACAACCGACACAGTAATCAAGGCGCTGGGGCAAACAGCTCCCGCTCGGCGCTTCTGGCTTAAGAGATGGCCCACCATGGCGTATTGTTCTTCTTCCTTCTTACACACAGAACACTGACGCACTTCTGTGCTGCCTGCGTTATGTGCTCACATTGTTTTGCTGCTGCATATGCAGCACAATGTCGTTGTCGTCAAGTTGATCGTTCTCGTTCGGGTGCAAAGATTTTCTTGAGGCATCCTCACGTTCCACATGTTTACATTAGGCATGAACACAGCAGTCGCTGAATAGTAGCCTGCTAGCACAAGTGTGGCCAAAAGCAATAACGACTATGATGTCAATAATGTAGCTGTGCCAACTCTGAGCTCAGCAACAATGGTGGCACCTGGAAGTTGGGACTCAGCTTCAGGTCACTTTCAGTGATTCAATGATGCGAGATGTGGCATATGGCACTGGATCAGGCACGCAAACTTTAATATTCATATAATTGGCCGTCTGAGCTATAATTGTTCATCCAATTTGTAGATATATGTACGTTCAAGAGAATGTCGCAGGCTATATTAGCCACAAAATTTTGTGTCAGTACTCTTTATGGTATTTTGCTTTATGTTTTAACTTACAGTTAAACAAATAAGTAAAGAATTTAGTAAGTTATAGTAATCATATAAATAAATTCGAGGATGCAAAAATATTTGTCTTGTTTTTCTCAAATGTCCCGACACTACACTACATACAACACTTCCACCCGTTTAGTCTACTGTACTTTCGAAGCACCATTAAGTTGCCTATTGTGGCATATTCATATTTTTTACACTATAAACTGGTATAGCCTTATTACCATGCTTAGACAAACATTACTTATGACCCTTACTACTTGCCCAAAGTAACCGGGGTTGTTCTGCAGAAGGGCTTGTTTTTGAGCTAGTTTATGCTTGCTTAAAATTATGTGGTGTGTGGTTTTGTGTGACTGTTCTCTCTTTTTTGCACTATATTATGATTTTCAGCAGGACCAGAGAATTCCTCGGACCCTTATCACCTATATTACCCATGAACCCTTAACTCCTGTATGGCCCACATACCCCATATGCCCCATAAGCCCTGTATCCACCCATATGGCCCGTAATCTCTGTATCCCCCATTTGGCCCATAATCCCTGTATCACCTGTATCCAATAACATCGTATGATACGGGTCCTATCTGTACAGGATATATATACCTGGCCAAAAAAACCGACTTCGAAGGCGATCGTAGGTTTTGTGGTAACCAAGGTGACCAGCCGTCGGATGGTCATGAAGTGCTCTGAGGACTTCGGACCGAGGCGATCAGGGTAGAACGGGAACTCAGCGCTGACCGTCAGGATGGTCAATTTTGCGGTACAGCACCGAGTTGTCCAACTTGAACTGCGAGAGTTGGTGACGGAGCCTCGCATCAGGTGGACGGGAACTGCCAGTGAGGTAGCCTATAATACGTCGACAGTATGGGTCAGCCAGCTGCCGAGAAGAAAAATCGTGCGGGTCGTCCGAAGGCAGCTGGTCCATAGAGGCGAGAGAGGAAACCGCCGTAGACGTGGACTCCGAGGGTGTGTTGTGCAAAGTGATTGCAGAAACGCTGAGGGGAGCCGCTGGTAGTGGGCAGCGAGAAAGAGCATCGGCGTCGCTATGCTTTCTGCCACACTTGTATACGATGGCAAAATCATACTCTTGTAGGCGTAGAATCCAGCGGCCGAGGCGACCCGACAAGTTATTGAGTGTCGAAAGCTAACATAAAGCGTGGTGGTCGGTCACAATGGTGAAATGGCGGCCGTGAAGATAGGGACGAAATTTCTGCACTGGCCAAACGATGGCGAAGCACTCCTTCTCGGTGATCGTGTAGTTCCTCTCGGCTGCGGAGAGGACGCGGCTGGCGTACGCATTGACTCGCTCTCGCGAAGAGTTGTCGCGCTGGTGGAGGACGGCTCCTAAACCGTGGCCGCTAGCGTCTGTATGGAGGAAGGTCGGTGCACCATCGTGAAAATGAGAAAGTACAGGATCGGTCGTGAGGGCACTCTTCAACCTGTCGAAAGCCGATTCACATTCCTGAGACCACTGAAAGGGCGTACCAGAAGCAAGTAGCTTATGGAGTGGTGCGGCTATGGAGGCAAAGTTTTGTATGAATCGCCGAAAGTAAGAGGCGAGACCAAGGAAACTTCGCAAATCTTTCGGCTTGTCAGGGCGAGGGAAGCGAAGCACCGCAGCAGTTTTCTCAGCGTCTGGAAGAATTCCGTCCTTGCTCAAAACATGACCGAGGACCTTGATAGATCTGCGGGCGAAATGGCACTTCTTGGTGTTAATTTGAAGACCAGCGCCCGCAAGGCAAATCAGGACCTCGTCCAAGCGTTGCAGATGTTGAGGGAACGTCGATGAAAAAACAACAATGTCATCGAGGTAACATAGGCAAGTCTTCCATTTCAGGCCACGCAGCACAGTGTCAATCGAGCGCTCAAAAGTTGCGGGCGCATTGCATAGACCAAACGGCATAACATTGAATTCGTATAGGCCGTCCGGGGTTGCAAACGCAGTTTTTTCTTTGTCGTCTTCGTGCATGGGGATTTGCCAATAGCCGGAACGCAAGTCGAGGCTTGAAAAGAATTCAGCACCTTGTAAGGAATCGAGGGCGTCGTCGATACGTGGCATGGGGTATACGTCCTTCCTAGTGATCTTATTGAGTGCTCGGTAATTGACGCAAAATCGTACGGAACCATCTTTTTTACGCACCAGAACCACTGGAGACGACCAAGGACTGGCTGAGGGTCGGATTATCTCCCGTTGCAGCATATCGTCTACGTTTTCCTCAATGATTTTTCGTTCGGCTAGGGAGACGCGGTACGGACGACGATGCACGATGGATGTTCCGTCGGTCTGAATACGATATGCTGTAGCAGTTGTCTTACCCAGGCTGGATGAATGAACGTCAAAAGAGTTTGCATGCTTTTGCAACAAATCAAGCAGCTGCTGCTTCTGCGAGTCTGTCAAGTCCTTGTTGATGGCTGCTGTAACGGCCGAGGAAGCAGCATGATCTCCAGGATGGCCTTTAGGGGAGGCAGGGGTAAGAGGCACGACGTACACAGGCTCCAGATCGGCAACGCAGGTGACAGTAGTGCCCCGCGGGAGTAAAATTTTATCTGGTGCATTTTATCGTAGCAACGAGGACAGCTGATCCATTGTTGAAGCGAGCCACACCTGATGCGAGAGCTATGCTTTTATTAATGCAACGTGGCGATGGAGTGACCAAAATGTCACCAGAGTCAACGTCGTTGGACAAAACTGTGACTAACTGATGTTCATTTGGGGGTAACTCGATGTCTACAGCAGCGATGAGTCGAAGTGGCCTGTAGGTTTCGTCACTATGCAAGTGGTCTGTGTCAGTAAGATGGACGACACGTTGTGCACAACAAATAGCCGCGGAAGCAGATGAAAGAAAGTCCCAGCCTAAAATGAGTTCGTGGGAGCATGGGGATAGCACAGCGAATTGTATATGATGAAGAATGTCATCGATTAGCACACGGGCAGTACAGAGAGCGGAAGGGCAAATCATTATTCCCTGGGCTGTAATCAGTGTTGGTCCATCATAAGGCGTCGTGACTTTGCGAAGACGGCCGGGTACACAAATCAGCACGAATAATAGAAAACCCAGCCCCAGTGTCCACCAAAGAATCAACGTCCACTCCCTCAACTGAGACTGCAATCATATTGTAAGGGCGCGCTGGAGGAATCGGAGTACTGTGTTGGAATGCAGTTTGTCCTCCAAAAACTGCATCGCTTAGTTTTCCGGACGCCGATCAGAAGCGAGGGAAGCAGGCTGAAGAGGAGAAGAGGAGCGACGGTAGGGCGATGGTGAACGGCGTCTGGTTGATCCATGACTACTGCGCAGTTCACCGGATGCTGGCAGAGATGGAGACCGACGCGGCGGTGACGAATAACGACGGCCCTGGTACAAGGCTCCTGCGGTATAGTCTCGTTCGCGTATGTCGTACCCTCGGCGCTCATCTTGCTGGCGCTTGCGGCAAAAGCGTGAAATGTGACCACGATAGCCACAATAATAGCACGTAGGGCGAGTCGATCGATGGGGAGGGTAGTAGCTTGTGTTAGATGCACCGGGAGAGACAGCAGTGATAGGGACAGATGATGGCTCAGGCGGTGGTGATGGAAAGCTCGTGGGAAAGCTTCTGGGAGGTACGGCAGCAACCGACGCGTACGTTTGTGGCGGCGACGTCGAGCTGACGGTGCCTGATGGTACGGCGACGGCATGCGAGAACGATGGGAGTGTACGAGCGACAGTGGGCTGCAGGTGGGCCATGTGGGTCATGGACGCGAGCTCCTCCCTGATGACATCCCGCAATGACGTTGAAGAAGACTGAATGGGACACACTGAAGGTAGTGTGAATCCCATTAATTCTAATTCTTCGCGTATAATCACCCTTATTGTGTCTCGAAGGTTTGGATCCACCGTAATACGGGCCGCGTCACTGTCCGGTTGTAGGCGCATAGACTCGAGTTCTTCGAGGCGCTGACACACCTAAGCACAAATATAAAAGAGGCGAGCAAATGTCACGTTCCCCTTGATCTTGAGTATTTGCAAGCGCATTTCTTGAAACCCCAATATATACTACAACCCTTTTGTATCCCAATAGCGTGCCAGCAAGCTCGATATGCATCCCTTGACAACAGATTGATCTGGAAGCATGTAGCTGACAATGGGTGCATGAAATAATTTGTTTAATAAACAAGAAGATGTATTTATTCGTTGGTGTAACCTAAAAGTGGTTTCCATCTTGTTTTTTTTTTTTTATCGAGGAACTGCATACCGATGCGCGCAACGCGCATATTCCATTGCTGTCTATGGTGGTTCGACCCTGTTTTTCCTCTAGCAGTATGGCCGCTGGCGGCTTCACTTGCTCTTGTTGGTGGCGGTATAATTCTTGTACACTATAGTGGCGGCCAGGATTGCCACTCCAGAGGTTCTCCTTGCCTGACACCCGAAAAGCAGCAGCCCATTGGCATCGATTGCGTTTCTTGTTCAAATCTTCCGCAGTTAGCTGCTGTACTTTTTGTCGATCGGCATTGCGAAGCTCCGTTTCAATTCAGCTTTGATATATCAATGCGAGCTTGTGAGTCAGACTTTAGGGGCCGCTACGACGAAGCGAACGTGTCTAGAAGCTGTGAACCACCTTCCTCCGTGCTGTGAACCATGTCAGCTGCTATGCTTCATCGACCTCCGGCTGCGCAGCCTCCAGCGTGAAAATTCAACGCCGGCAAATCGCGCGAAGACTGCCTACGAAGACGGAGTAATCTTGCACAATGTGGGCGTGTTCGCCGTTGAGTGAAAATGTGCTGCTTTGCATCTGAACATGGCCCTTTTTTTTTGTATGCGCTACAGTTTTTGTCATTTCATAAACTATGTCGACTTATACAGCTAATGAGATGCACACCTTGTGAATGTTTGAGATTGTTGTCACATTCGCTGAAAATGTCTTTACTGCTAAAATTTGTAGCACAGATCACAGCATAAGTTCTACTTGTTTCTGCTTAAAATGAGTCTGCTGCAATATATGCTCATAAATTCAATGCATAGTAGAGCCAAGTGAACCTTCAGTACATATCCGCATTTGTACATTTTTGGTAAATTTGCAGTGAAGCATACTACATTTGCATGAACTATATAGTCCATCCAGTCCGATAATTACCTAGCTTTGTCCTCTGAAGAACGTCACTAAAACGAATTCATCGTAATGCCATCCACAAGACAAATTCACAAAAACAGCAGGGCTATGTCCTTACTACCTTTCTTATATGCAGTGCTCCCGTATACATTCTTTTTAGTCATGCATCATAAATTCGTTCACGCTTCTACCAGAGTAATCAGAACGTTTTTTTTCTTACAACCCAACCGCAGCCTCCAAGGAACTGCTCATATCAGTGTACGCTTGGATACCTCACCACTCAGAACCTACCTCAAGTCAGCGGCGAATGTGTCATCACTGAAAGCAAGCTCATGAGCCGAAATCCTCGCAAGGTATGGTTGAAGACACCTTATTTATTGAACATAATTTGTTCAACCATTTATGTCTTACCCTGCTCATTTTTTTTTCTTCTCAGAAAACTAGACTAAAGAGAGACTATTGATTTTCAAGCTACCCACATCCAGTCGTAAGAAGCAATACAGTTGCCATAGTGACAACTCCATGCACCATCAATATGCCAGCTGGACAAACGGAAGCCTTTTACTGAAAAACAGTGAAAGAGTACGGTATGTTCAATCTGTACAATGTTGGGTGCACAGATTGTTGTTTCTTTATGAATTACTGAGTTTACAGGAAATGTGTAGGCTTCAAAACTCTTTAACAGTGCTTGTCATGGGCTGCACATACTGTACTTCACTCTACGTGTCAAATTTGCATAGAGTATCACATATAACTAGGTAACAAATGGGCTTGTAGTAGTGCATATTTAGAAGCACTTCTTTTTCACATTTTGTATAGATTGCTGTGAATGTAAAGACTGTTGCAAGACAGTGGTAGGTACAGCTAGAGTAGTGTTGAAACAGTTACTGATACCGCATGCATGTTGGGACTGACACTATCAAAGTTCTAAAAAAAAACCGTGCAAGAACTCAGGCCTTCATTAAGCAAGACATGTTTTGCAGAGGTAGCAGTCACAGAGCGTAACCATGAGAGTAAAATACCTAAAAGAATAAGGAAGAATGAGAATGGGTGGATTGCATTCGGCAAGCACTTTCAAATCATGAATGATAATCTGTCACTAACCCTCAAGAAGAAGGTATATAACAGCTGCGTCTTGCCGCACTTACCTACGGAGCAGGAACCTGGAGACTTACAAAAAGGGTTCAGCTTAAATTGAGGACGACGCAGCGAGCGATGGAAAGGAAATTGATACGTGTAACCTTACGACATTAGAAGAGAGCAGAGTGGGTCAGGGAACAAATCGGTGTTAAGGATATTGTAGTTGAAATCAAGAAGAAGAAATGGACATGGGCTGGGCACGTAGCACGCAGGCTGAATAACCGCTGGTCGTTAAGGGTAACGATTGAACTCACAGAGAAGGGAAATGCATGAAGTGAGTACGGAAGGTTAGGTGGGCCAGTAATATTAAAAAGTTTGTACGTGTAACGTGGCAGCAGAAAGATCAGGATTAAGTTGATTAACTGATCATGGGAGAGGCCTTTGTCCTGCAGTGGGTGTAATCAGGCTGATGGTATGCCAAAAACAAGCACCGACATGCAATCAAGCAGTGAGCCTTAGTGTTTAAATGTATCTCCATATTTGTGCTTCGAAACATGTTTGTTTGCATGACAGAGTTAACGCAATCAAAATGATATGTAATCAGTAATTTGCATTTGCTTGCATTTATTCCAGTGTGACTCCATGATCACCATTCCTAGCTTGTCCAAGGGCTCTAGTTCAGCGTCCTAAATCTCATCTGCTGAGAAATGCTGCTGTTCAGTTGTTTTCCTCCTCTAGTTAATTTAGTTTGGTTTGTTTTTGCAAAATTTTGTGATCACTCTGGACAGACATGTGCGAGCACAACGAAAACAAGGGGCTCCCAGTTTGAATTAGCTGTTGTGGATACCAATGTGTTCAAATTGTCGAGAGATTTCCCCGAATAAAAATACATAGGTCTGTGCGCTTTTACTTAACCGAGTTCAAGTAACGACCTTTTACTGTAATGTTATTTGGTCTATGTAAAATATCTGATGCACAATAAGGAATTTTTAAAAGTATGTTAATTTTTAACAGAACAATGACTGAGTGCACTCAGTAGGTATAGTCAAAGTTGGCCAGTGTTTGCATATATTGATAATTCGAGAGTCTACTAACAACTCTTTCCTTTATATTGGTGTGAAATATGTAGCCAAAAGGACTAGTTTTGTATGATACCCGTGTTAAGAGTGAGGAAGACGGTTAGAAAGTAGTGAAAAATAAAAATGTGAATTCCGCTTCTGCCGTTGTTCATCATTTGAGCAGTGTCTTTGATAACTATGCACCATTGGCACAAAAAAAACCTGATTTATTCATCTGTCAATGCAAAGCATAAAACATTTGAAGATCATTCAAAAAATAAGGGCCATTTGGTTCCAAGCAAGCAAATATTCATTAGCAGAAGTTTTTATTGGTGGGCTTAGTTTAGCAAAAACCTACTTCACTTTTCTACAGAATCACTGCTAACTTCTTAGTGCTTCTCGTACCGTTGCAGTAGTTTCTTTAGTCAAACCAAATAAAAGATCGCCGCTTGGTAATTGAACCTGTTGTGAACGGTGATCGTGAATTTCTCACTGTCTTCTAATCGTACCCCGAGCCACTGTTTCGAGTGAAAGAAGAAATAATCACACGGTGCTGGCACAGAACAGTAGGGCGAGCAATTAGTGTTCCCTGTGAAAATATTTGATCTTCCCATTGGTTCTGATTGTGGTGCAAGGATGCATGTTGTCATGTAGGAAGCCAATTCCTAATGAGAATTTATGACGTCATCAATATTTATCGTACTTATTACTGTGGTGAGTGTTTCACAGTATATGTCAGCTGTAAATGTAGCCCAGATTTAAATGAAATTCAACACTGAAAATTTCCTTTTTGACTTGGAAAATGGTAGCCATTTTCTAACTGGAGTAAGCTAATTGCTTGAATTTTTTTCGATTTTGTGAAAAGGAGTGGTGGCACCACTGTGTTGTTTCTGCAATTGCGTACACTTTGAAGCATCGTCACTTGTGCAAACAGTGTGCGAAAACAAGTCATCCCTGTTTTCTCGGTAGCAGTCCAGAAACGCTCATCCACTCAATGTCCTTTAGTGTTTGACTTGGTCGGTAAGCATTTTTGGAACCTAGCTTTGTGATATCTGGTCATATGGGCTACAATTGTACAAATTAAAGCGATGCCAACAAGGAGAACTTTGTTTTACAGACCAGTAACTGTTAGTCCTCAATATATTGCAATATTCTGTCCACTTGAACAGTTTGGTTGGTCTGGATGCTTGGCGTGGTGCTCCACTCTTATTTGTATGCATTTGTGCAGCTATTTCGGAAGTCTCAACGCCGTGTTCGGACACTTGTTTCACTCCTCACAGTTGATCCATGAACTGTGCACAACTCCTCGTAAATTGGAAAAGCTAGTGATTCTTTTTCATGAAAAATTGTAAATACAGTGTGCAACCCACAACAGGTGGGAGAAACAATATTCGCCAACATTGTTGTCTGCCTTCCCCGTCAAGCAGATGACTACTGAGCCAGAACAATCACTTCAGTACTTTCGCTGAGAAGTAGCAGATTGTGCTGTGCACATAACTCTTCTGTCTGACATGCAAATACTTAAAGACTAGGAAATGGCCCTTACTTTGTGAATAAACATCATAGAACATTTCATTATGCAGATTTGACTGCAATGATTATTCACTGCCTATTTTTTTAACATTGCTACCATGACCTCTAGCACTTCTCAGCTGTCTATAGTGTTATTGGTGTTCCTTATGTCCCCATTGTATGTGTATATGTCATGTGCAGTGTACTGCAAGTGCTATCCACTGGTGCATGATTTATTTTTTACGAATGAGTGCTTTTGGGAGCACCAACAGGCATCCTCTATCTCGTGTGTCAGCTGATCTACAGTAGGCGAGCGAGGGCAAGGGTAGCTAATTCCCTTAACTTGTAATCCGTGACAACTTTCACAGGAATGTTGACTTGCTGAAATGTTTGACTCGGGCTTTCACTATTCGCCAACTGTTACTCAATTAAAGTGCCTGTCACTGCAACCCTTTTACCTCTTTTGAAACGTAAACCAAGTTTCCGTTTCAACATGATCCTGTAAATGATGTTTTCCCAGGATGCACTTGCTTACCACAAGTGGAAGTTGATCTAGTTAGTCGTAAAAAGATTGGACGCACAGGTAAGAACATGGATTCTAAACACAATATTGAGAACAATGTTATATGCAGGCATACCTAGCACAACAGCGTGGGGTCATTTCTTTTTATTCAACACGATGTGCTTCTCACCAATTCGTTGTCAAATATCATAATGCGGCTGAGGCTAATCGTACTGACACCGCACTTTTTGAGAGCATGTGTGGTGAGAAAGGCAATGGACAGAACAGTACCAAGTACTGTGCAAGGGAGTACGGGCAATGGAATGGCATTGTTGGCACGCCTGTTCCAGGCACGTCTGTTCGAGTAAGTTGAAGGCACGCTAGTTCAAGGCGTGGCGCTTTGTGAAAAACGCATTAAATTCACCATTTTCTGCAAGTTTTTGTCGGAAATGAAGGTCGTGTCCACGAATTTTAGCACCCAATTTTTTTGTTTGCTGAAAACCTTGAAGGCAAATGTTTTGTTCAGCATACGTAATAAATTAACGCTCGTTTTAAGTGCAAACATTGTAAGACTCATGATATTTGTGCGCTTGCCAACAGAAACTAATTGATTCGCTCAGTGCTGTGTTTGTATGTACATGGACATAATATGTTGATGTTGAAGGCGGGTACAATAAATGTCATCGTATGTCCAAGATTTAACATGAACTTTTGTTATTTTCCACACAACCTCAACTTCGTGACCCCCCGCTGACGGGCCGTTTTTTTTTTCCGAGAAAGGTGGCAGCTCTACTCGGGGTACAACTTGAAGAGAGTGAGAAATTCAATATCACCGTTCGCAACAGGTTCAATTACCAGGTTGCGATTTCTTATGCAGATTGTCTAAAAAACTACTGCGACAATATAAAAAGTGTTAAAAAGTTAGCAGTGATTCTGTTGAAAAGTGAAGTAGGTTTTCGCTAAACTAAGCCCACCAATAAAAACGTTCGCTAATGAATATTTTCTTGTTTGGAACCAAATGGCCTTTACTTTTTGAATGACCTTCAAAGATTTTATGCTTTGCATTGACAGATAAATAGATGAGTTTTTTTTTTGTGCCAATGGCGCGTAGTCATCAAAGACACTGCTCAAACGAGGGATGGTGGCAGAAGCTGAATTTACATTTTGACTGGGAATTCATATTCCGATGACTGGACAGTCTGAACAACCTCAGATGATGAAGGGGAAGTAATCACAATAACTTATCAGTTCTAATATTATCATCTTTTCACCTATGCAGATGTGTTCTTTCTTAGCTGACGTGCTATTGCCACAAATGCAGCTCATTTCAACCCTGAAATGGTATTGATAATTTTTTGCAGAGTCACTGAGTCATTCTGATCAATAACAGATTAAGTGCTCTGCATAACTTGTGTAGATTGTGTAGACTGCATAACTTGTGTAGACTCAAGTTTGGAAAGTGAATTGCTATAGTTCACACGGCACTGCTATACAGAGTTTTCAACTGCCCTGGCTTTGTGATAATTATGTTTGTTTCTTCCTCCGTGGCATTGAGGTATCAATTGATCTGGTTGTCTACACACAGTGGCTAAATACATTGTTATGACCCACTGTAATAAACCATTGTATAATGAAGGAATGATGACAACAAAAGGGAACAACAAGCATCATCGCAAAGTAAGGCACCACAAGATCGGCGCTCGAGCTCCTCCATCTTCCTCGTCCTGTCGCTATCTCGAATCTTCCACCTGCCCGTTTGGTTCGCCCAATAAACCTCTTTACATTTGGTGGATCA